TTGCATACATCCAATCCTCTGTACCATTCTTTCCTACGTCTTCCTCATGCTTGGCTATTTGAAATTTCCTCTCCTGCAGTCCCCTTATTCCATCACCTGCAGTGAAACAAGAGCCCCATCCTGCCTCCTTTGGTTTGCTCTTCTGCCCAGACTTTCCCCTGCTGGAAAAACCTCTGAGTCTCCAAATCCTCTCTCTTTCTTTTTTATGAGAGGAACACAAGAGAATGTGGGATTAACAGAATACATTTATTCTGTGTGAATAAATGTATTAAAAATACTATTCATTAAGTGCACACATGAGCGTGGCAACACAGTATTTCTTTACACTGGTTTCAATCCTGGATGCCCATTAGAATCACCTGGGGAGCTAATGCTGGGCTGTCTCAGATGGTTACAACAGTAACAGGGTGGGGTATTAGGGCTTTGCAGCCCCTCAGGTGATGAACTGTGCAGGCTGAGAACATCTGACTTTTTTAAAAGTCTGAGTCATTCACTGAGAGAATAGCTACATAATTACAGCTGAAGAAAGGCAGTGTCTGTAGGACAAACTGAGTGTGACTGGAGAAGTATTATGGCTATAGAAGGAACAAAGAATGCACTGTCTGGCAAATGGAAGCTTCTACGATTATCCTCATTTACTTTCCCTGGTATTATTGACAATTTTTCAACCATTTTTGATGATGAAAGCGGGGGAGAGAAAATGATAACTGAAGGGAGTATACTGGTGGGGAATCAAAGGTCTCTTTGTTGTAGATGGGGGAGACTCTGAGTGTGTTCAACGACAACAGACAATCCAGTTGCACGGAAGTAGGACAACTGTTGGGTAAGAATCCACTGAGGGGGAGAGAGGCTCCCAGACCAGGAAAAGGGACTGGTCTGTGACAGGGCGAAGGATGGCTCCACTATTTTCATAGAAGGTAGAAGATGGGAACATAGCGAGGCAGGCATTTTGGTTTGCTGGCAGGAAAAGGAGCAAATTCCCACCTCTGCTTTTCTTTTTTTGTTTTAGTGAATTATGGTATAAAATCATTTTGTAGAGTGATTTGTGAGGCTGGGTGGGGAGATGGGGCAGGGTTGAAGTGTTTGAAGAGGGTAGAAAAGATCTGAAATAGTCATTGCTGAGTATAAGAATGTAAGTTCACCTGAGAAAAGTCAGCCAGTCTGCTGTGCAGTGTGGAGAGTTAACCATTTGAAGATATTTAATGATACTGACCTCTGTTCTCTCTCTCAGTTCCTAGGAGTAGGCAGTAGAAGGCAGACAGTAGACTTGATTCTGAGTAACAATACCTCCACCAGTATTTAGAAAAGACAGAGGGCAAAGGACTTTGGGAGTAAAACAGGAGTGCTTCAAATATAATGAACTATAAAATCCACACTGGAAAAAGGATGGAAAAAAGGATTGAGAGAAAGCAGATGGGACGGTGGTGTGGAGGGGAGGTTGCGGGCAGAGAGTGGGATGCGTAAGTTATGTCATCATGGAGACAGAGAAGCCAAGGAACTGAGCCCAGGGACTGATGGGTTGTCCGTGTGGATAATGGCAAATCTCATTGTCTTCATTTCTTCATCTACTCACTCCTCAATTCACGCCGATCTGTTCCTAACAGCTTTGACTAAAGTTATAGATGACCTCCATGTCTTCAAATCCAAAAAATGTCTTCTGATCCTCATTTTGCTTGATTTTTCAGCATCATGTGACATTGTAAACTATTCCCTGTTCTTGGCATGGTCTCTTTCACTGGCTTCCAAGACAACGCACTGTCCTTATTTATTCCCAACTTCTCTGGCTCCTGGGTATCAGTCTCTTCCTGGCCAGTATAGAAGAGATTTTCCTAATAGGGTGTAATCCTCAGTCCTCTGTTTATATTTTCTCCCTAGACAATCGCACCAGTGCCTCATGGCTTCAATTGCTACTCATCTTAGAAGTTCCTTTTGAGCATTAAGCCCATCTACCCAGTTCTTACTAGTCATTTCAACTTGGCTATCTCAGAGGCCTTTTAAACTCCTCATTTGTTATCTTGAACTCATAATTTATCCCCAAATCTGGTTCTTTCCTGATGTTCCTAAATGAATCTCATGTCTGGTGAGACAAGTCAGAAATCTAAGAGCCTCCCTTTCCCTCAACCTCCTATATCCTGTCTTTTACTCCCATCGATGTGCTTCCTGAATATCTTAAGATTCCATCACTTCTCTCCATCTCCAGTGGTGTGATCTGGATCCAACCTCTAAGCTTCTTAGCGCCTTCTTACCAATCGCTCTGGCTTCTTTCAGCCCGTTCTCCACACTAAACCACATGAATTCTGCCTTCTTCCCAAACACAAATCTGATAATATAACTCTTCCCTTCAACCCCTTCGTTACTCCCCACTTTCTACTGCCCCTTGAATAAATACAAAAACCTGTCATGTGGTCCTCAGGACCCAGCATGACCTGGCTCCTGCATCGGCTCTAGGCACACCATCTTTTCTTCCTCAGTCCTACTTGTCCCCCAGCTCTCCACTCACACTTCCTCCAGTAAGCCTTCCTGACCACTTGGCAGTCAGCCTCCTCCATTATTTGCTCTCCTGGAACGGCATGCTTTTCCCTTAACAGTGCATATCTCAGTTTGGAATTACACATTCATTTCAGTGGTTATTTGACTAATGTCCGTCTTGTCACACCAGACTCCAGGTTCCATGAAAGCAGGAACCACATCTGGTTTTGCTCATTTTGTAACCTCCCCACTTAGCAAAATACATGGCTGTTGATGGTGCGTAAAAATTATTATTATTTTTTTTGGGGGTGGGGTGGGGTAGGTGAGTTGTATTTGGAACCATAGGATTTAAGCAGAAAGGTATATTAGAAATCATCTGCTTTCTGTCATTTTAAAGTTGAAGAAACAAAGGTGCAGAAAGGTGAGAGATTGGGGGGGCTTTATTTATACAGCTAGCTGATGACAGAGCTTGAATGTAAATCCTGGTCTCTTTCTATCCTAACCTGGGAACCATTTGTTTGTTTAAATATTCTGATAGTGTTTTCTCCCTCTCTTGCTTTTTTTAAAAGTAAAAAAATAAAAGCAGTCTGTGCTTAAACTGTGTTTTTCATGCTATCCAATCACAAAACATCAAACCATTGGTGGCAGTCAAAATGGCACTTTCTGGAGAAAGGGAGGGGGTGAACCATTTTAAGGACATGCCCCCATTCTCACCCCCAGCAACTTGCAGCAGTGATGGAGTGCCTAGTGAGAGCTAGGAGCACATTCCTCCTTCCCCTGCTGATCAACTAGCAGCCACCTGGCCACAGTCAACAAGCGAAGGATTAACAGACTCATGGTGAAACGTCAGAGAAAGCTGCAAATCCCATTTCCTCCGGTGGCAGCAGACAATCATCTTCTGCACTGTCAGACCTCAGTCTGATTATCAAAAGTGGTTTGCACTATTTCTCCAGAGGCTTCATTTTCCCCCACAGTTTCTTTTGCACTGAATAAAGCACGGGAGCCCTCTGGTGGTAATTTGTAGAAAAAAATCTCTTGAGAGTGAGAGATTCACTGAATTTGGGTGAGAAGTCCCAGCTCTTTGTATGTTTCTTTCTTGCCCCCCAATAGCCATTTCCAAAATCAGCCATTAAAAGTAAACCAAGGCCATTATAAACCATCTGGACAAGGAGGCATCAATGGACCAATGTTTTCTTTTCTTTTCTTTTTGTGATCAGGCTTACAATTTGCCAGCCCCAGTTGCTAAATAGAGCTGTGACTGATGATGTGATCTGAGGATATGGACGGTGAAATCTGGCCACAGTGTGAAGTAGGGTCTTGATTTCCTGTTTGGAGGTGAATGCTCTCTGTGGTAGAAATTCTAAGGTCTAGATAGCATTTTACAATTGACTTATAGATAGCAGGCCCCCTGATCCGCGGCTTCGCTTTCCACAGTTTCACTTACCCACAAGTTGATGGGGGTCTGATAATGTTAAGTGGAAAAATTCCCAAAGTAGACAATTCATAGTTTTAAAGTGCACACTGTCCTGAGTAGCATGATGAAATATCGAACCGTCCTGCTCCATCTCGCATGAGATGTGAATTATCCCTTTGCCCAGCATCTCAACTCTGTGTATGTCCCCCACCTGTTAGCTACTTGGGAGCTGCCATCTCGGGTATCTGTCATGGTATCACAATGCTGGTGTTAGAGAAACCCTTATTTTAATTAATAATGGCCTTAAAGCCATTCATATAACTTTCGTTACAGTATATCGTCATAATTATTCTATTTTATCATTAGTTATTGTTGTTAATCTAGTACTGTGATTAATTTATAAATTAAACTTTATCATAGGCATACACACACACACACACACACACACACACATATATGAAAAAACACAGGAGATACAGGGTTTGGTACTATCTGAGGTTTTAGGCATCCACGAAGGGTCTTGGAATGTATCCACCTTGGATAAGGGAGATGACTGCAACATGTTGTCCAAATAACTGAGTAGGGACAGGGAGCTCTGTGCCAGCAGAAGTTCTCATGAGTGGAAAGCTGGGACCAGGAGACAGGTGAATAGGGTAGGTGGTAGAACGGAGGAATAAGCTAGACCTTGACTGTTTACAGTACTAGACAAGTTTGAGATGATGAGAAGCACAGGGCTGGGAAGAAGTGATACCCATAATACTTATAAATGCCCAAACTGTCTTATCAAGTAGGAGAGGTTTAAAGAATCCCAGCTGCCCATGGCTGGGGAGGGTGAAGGTCCAGACAAGCAGAAGAGAGGCTGACAGCAGGCCCCGGCACCATGGAGGTCAGGTTCCAGGAAAGAAAGCAGCACCTGATTTCTCAGACTGTTTCTCAAAAGGCTAGTAGTATCTACTTCTGCTTTTCGTTAAAATTTCTTGGTATGTTCCTATTTTATTAGCCATTTTATATTGTGTTTGGTTTTGCATTTAATTTTCTCTGCAAATAATAGCCCTTTAAAAGCAAAAATCAAAATGTATGCTATTTTAAAACATTAGGAAATATATGTTTGAAAAAGTTAAAAATCACAAAGAGATCAAGACTGTTTAATAGTTACTTTGATGGAAATCCAGTCACATCTACCTGTACCATTACAAATACCATTACTTGGACATTCACACTCTGTTAGGAACATGATATATTACAAAAGAGAGAGGGACTTTTAAAACCACATTTAATTTTTAATACAAAAACTATTGCACTATTACAGATGTGATCCCTTCATGCACAGATAAATTTAGCATCTACTATTATGGAACAGTAAAAACTACTTTTAATGTTCCCCCAAACATTGGCAATTTAAAGTAACTTTTATCTTTGTGCTCTCTGATGCCAAGTTAAGGCCTGTTTTGTCTTTTTATATTTCCATTAGGAAGGCTGATCTGTGAAAAGTAAATATGGAGACATGAAAGTATTTAAGGCCATCTTTATCTGGGATAACTTCAAACTATGCTTTACCTACATGTATCAAAGATGTCAGGTGACTAGGCCTACTAAGCCCCACAGGCAAAGCTCTGAAGAGTTCATCTAGAAACTTGCTGTCAATATGTAGACTAGTTCACTATTTCAATTTCACAGCAAAAAGGGAAAATAAAAACCCAAAGTTATTTAAGTAAATGTTTTCCAATCCCATGCACTGTATTAATTAGCTAACTTCTTATACAGCATAACATAAACGTTTTTTGCATGTTTATTATTATGGAACACCTATAAGCATATAGCATCTACGCTTTAAGTGTATTTACAAATTTAACAAAATATCTACATATAAAAAGCTTTACTTAAAATTAAACTTGATGCAAGTTATGAGAAACCAATTTATTGGCAAATGAAACTGAGAATTCCTTCAACCATAGGTTGTTATAGAATTTCATATTTGGAGGTAAACCATCTGATATTGTTTATGATTATGGTAGAATATATACTTTTTTTTGGAACTGCAGATGGAATCCATTTGACTCTTAGCCTTGTTAGCACTTATCAGACTTCTTAGATTCTGAAATGTGTCCATAGCAATTTGCATACAGATTGTTTAATGCTGCAGAGTTTCAAAAGCTGCCACATAGGTAAAGACTTAGAGAATAATATATTCCTGTTGGCATGCTATTGTATGCTTTTAGTGTTGGGATAACTTGCTTTTTAAAACAATTTTCTGCCAAGTTGTTATCTTTCTTACTGAGTGGGACTTGTTTTTAATAGAAACCATAAAAGACCACAAAATCCTCATGTGTTCCAGTTGGTGGCAAAGCTTTTCTTTTTATACATATGGGGACAAAGTTCCTTAAAGTAAACTGTTTTACTAATTTTATTTTCATATTTCCTTTTTTTCCATCATTGCAGTTTTCATTATCTCTGCATTTTAAAAGTCACTTTTAGACAATGACAGTAATCTAGGACTCCACGTCGACTGTACCAATGGTACAGAAGCAGTAGGTTACAGAATACTTCTTGTCTGAAGGCATTGCATGTGTCTTGCCCTGTGCTTTCTGGAATAAGTTCTGAAATTTAATTGGAGTGATTTGTTTTTTGATTCTTTCAGTATGGCACAAATGCCAAAATGCATTGCAATACACACTGTTTTCGCCTAAAAACAATTGAACATAGAAATGATGTATAAAGTAGAACACTGTACTGCTGTAATACCTGGAAGATTAAGAAGGCTACAAAGTGACAGGAGCAAAGAGCAGGTGACAGTGTTTCAGTAAGCATCAGCGAATGCAACTGTCATGATTAACTCATTTAGCAAGTATATACTGTACATATTGTTCCTAACAGTCTCCCCAAAACACTAACAGCTAGACAAAGAGTCACCAATTTCACAACAATGTCCACAAAGACATTGAAGTTCTAGAGAATACTACAGTAACACTCTGGACAATGGAAATGGAATTTAGGGGTTCAGCTGAGGATAGTATAAACAAAATATCAAACCACATTTTAATAACATACACAAGTATGTCCTTTAACTGTATGTAGCATTTTTCATGCATCATATTTAACTGTATCCTGAAGAGGAAATAACATAATCTGTGGATGATGTCGTATTATTTTTATCAGTTCTGAGGAAATCAAGAATACCTATTTTGAAAGAAAAAGTATGCACTTTGCACTGCACTTCACATTAACATATCATTTGACTGAGTTACATTCTTGCTCTAACTGTTCTCATAGTATTAACATACAGCAGAACATATACTTTCTGCCTCTATGTTCACAGTATGAGAAGGCTGACAAACAAGTGCTTAAGATAAACATTCTAGAGGAATGGGATATTGGCAAATAGCTTACAAATTAAACAAAGGAATTCATGGCGTTGACAGGAGAAGGTGCCTCTGAGCTTTCATTTCCTTCAGCTGGTTCTTTCTCTTTCTTACCACTGTATTGTCCAATAAAGGAGCCGTCCTCATTGAACTGGCCATTCACTCCCTCTCCATAGTCAACTAGGCTATCATCGCTATCTTCTTTTTTCACAGTTCTGTCTGAAGGTGTTCGACTGCCTTTTTTCAAAGGCTTGTGGTCTTCTGCATCGCTGGAAAAAAAAGAAATTTTCGTCAAGACTGGCCATTTAGGTAAAATGTTTTGTTCTTAAAGATTATGCATGCAAATTCTGATAAAGCAGATGGAGTCCTGAGCTTCTCTAGCCAAATCTAATCATCAAGTTGACTCCAATGACTGGGATGTAGTTGCAATGAAAATCAGGTGCAGAAATGGTTTAATCATGAAGTCTTCAGTAGATGGATGGCTTCTTATTGTGCATGTCAATATCAATGACAGATTCTGGATCCCGATTTGGAAGCAATTCAGAAATAATCATAAGCATTAAAAAAAGAAAGAATTGAAAAAAGCTGAAAATCATCACTATTTTGAATTTAAAAGCGGGTTAAAGATTATGGTAAGTAGAGAAGTTAGTATGTTAAACTGCATAATATCTCTGATACCTTGGATATGAATGGAGAATGATTTTGGTTAAATGGGAAATACGGATTTTTTTTTTTTTTCCTGAGCAAGAACAAGCAAAATACTGCATTTCAAATAATTTTGTTATTGAATGCAGGCCAGACTTGTAAACTTTAACCTTACCTTTCAAGAAACCTACAAATTCCATTAAAAGGATGCAGAAGAAACAAATGAAAATAGCCTAAGAAGAAAAGCACAATCCTTATTCTGATGGTATATGGTGTTTTTTTTTCTTCTGTAAGAATTTTAGTTATTTATTAATCTGGAAAGAGACATAATATAACTTCAAAGCACTACATACTATTAATGGCATGTTAATATATTCTAAAATGTAAGCGATTCCAAAAATGTAAAAGCAAACATTTCCTGCACTCGTCTTTATCCCACTACTCCCTTCTCCAAAGTGTGGTATGCAGCCTATCCATGTTGGATGGAAATCTGAGGAGTGTAATTTAATAAAACTTTATAAGACTAATTTTTTTCTTATTTCTCTTGAACATGTAAGCACAACATCTGGAAGTAGAAGAGTAGTCATTATGTTTTAGCACATTCTCTCATGTGGTCATGTAACATTGGTTTAAAAAAAAAAAGGAAAAAAAGGCAATGACAATTTTTGCCTTTCAAAGAACAAAAATACAGGCAAAATAAAAACATAATAATATTAGTAAAAAATTAAAAAGGCTTAATGTAAAATCGAGGTTGCATTAGCTGCAGTATTTCATCTACCAATTTGTGCTAGGACTTTATTGCTCCCTCTGTTTCTGAGAATGACTCTCTTTCTAGCCAAGATACAAATATTTCAAGATGCACAAATATTCTGCCTCTTCTGCCAATAATTTCTATTAGAGTTTTTAATTTTTCTCCAAGAAGAAAACTCAAGACTGGAAAATAATACTAGTTTAATATGACGCTGGCATATACTATTGAAAATTACCTGTTTCAATAAAACACAAGTTCTTGTCACAATCTGAATAAATGGTATTATCACAGATAAACAGCTCCCCAGACAAAAATAAGCTAAAGAAATGTATCAGCACCAAGCCAGTATTACAAGAAATGTTGGAGGGACTTCTTTAAGAAGAAAAAAAGTATCAAAAACATGAACAAAGAATGGCAATAACTACATTCCTATCAATAAGTACCTAAAATGGAAAAGAATTAAGTGCTCTGACCAAAAGATAGGGTGGCAGAATGGATAAGAAAACAAGACCCCTACATATGCTGCCTATAAGAGACTCACTTCAGATTAAAAGACACACACAGACTAAAAGGAAGGGGATGGAGAAAGACATTACCTTGATGGACCTAGAGGGTATTGTGCTGAATGAAGTCAGATAAAGACAAATATCACATGGTTTTACGTACATGTGGAATCTAAAGAACAAAATAAACAACAGCAACAAAAACAGAAACAAATGCATAGCTACAGAAAATATTTTGAGGGCTATTAGATAGGAGGGGAGTTGGGGAGATGGCAAAAAAGGGCAAAGGAATTAGGAAGTACAAATGGATAGTTACAAAATAGACATGGAGATATAAAGTGTAGCATAAGGAAAATAGTTAACAATGTTATAATAAATATGTAAGGGAGAAGAGGGGTACTAGACTTAGTGGGGTGATCACTTTGTGAGTTATAAAGGTCTCTAATCACTATGCTATACAACTGAAACTAATGCATTATTGTATGTCAACTATACTTGAAAAAAGAAACCTCATTGAATTGTACAATGTAAAAAAAAATTCCTCCACATTTTTATGAGGACTTTTAAGGACAGGTGGTATTAGATATTAATTCTGAGCCTAGAATATGAGAAATTAAATAAATTTCAAAATAAGTCATAAATAGTCATAAAATAGTAACATATAGCCATAAGATATACTTTGATACTTATATCCATGAATAAAGGTGGTTGCGCAGTGGAAGGAAATGTTCACATCACAATATTACAATTCAGTTCCCGAATTACTTCCTCAGGGAAGATTTCTTGTACTACCCTCCTTCTTTGCCACTGACTTGGTTTTGGCTTTGTGCTCCTGCTCCCTTGGTGCCGTTCCCTTTCATAGCACTTTGCACACTATGCTCACATTGTTCTTTTACTTCCCTGAATCCCTCACTAGACTATAAATCAGTGAGATAACATTCAGTTTGTTTTAATATCCCTACAGCCTGGTATACAGTAGGCGCTCAATAAATATTGGTTGAACTAATTCATTGCAATGTAACAATAGATGAGACAGAGAACATTTTAGAAATTATTCAGAATGCTAACATTAAAAAAATTTCATTACTTCTTAATTAATTTTCGAATGTTAGACAAAGTACCAGAATATATTCTTTACCTTCTCTTATCCTAAGAATGCATTTTAGAGTTCACTTTTTCTTTCTTTCTTTTTTTTTTTTTTGTGAAAGCACTTCAGGGTTGTGGATCCAGAAGGAACCTTTACTGAGTAAAATTTAACAACAATAGATAAATCTGTGATTGTTTGCTCTGATTTTCCTGTGGTTGCCACCCTACCACAGCCAAACCACGCTCCGGTTTTATTGGTATTCATGACTCAGTCTTCCCAAACACCATTTCTAAAAGTCTGTCGTTATTTATACTGCTCACACACCAGTTTATGTTTGTGATTAGAATAAATCTAAAGTAGATAACAAATGTGGCACATTTTCCTATTAGACAAGCTTTACGAGCAGGGGCTAACATGCTTGCAACAGGATGTGCTCATGTGAGTGACAGGATCCCTGTGCCAAGAGCCTCCGTTTACGCTATGAGTTCAAGTACCATGGCTAGATTCATTCTGGTTTTAAGAAGAATGGATCTAAAGAATGAAAAATACTTACATGGCTGGTTGCATTGTTTCTTTGATTATTCTATATGCTAGTAAGAATGCAGATGCTACTGTCTGTATAATTTAAGAAACAAAGAAAGATGCAGGCTTCCACCAAAGGGTAACTGCTTGGGGATGGGTATCGGAGTGAAAGCACAAGGTTACCGTACATGAAAAAAATCAAATTTAGTCACTGAAGTTCCATCCCTCTTTGCACTATGAAATATCCTCTGGCTCAGAGCCAATTATGTAGAAACTGTTTCATCCTCAAGCTAGAGAATGAACAAATCTTAAACAGAATAAATTTACATTTAGATAGTAGCCCTAATTTTGTGTGTGTGTGTGTGACCAGCACAGTAATTTATCTTCAGAATGAAAAAAAAAAAAAAAAAAAGAGAGAATCAATTAATAATACAGAGCTCAAAACTTCCAGAAGGTGTAAAGCAGAGAGGGGACCTTGGCAGTTTAGGGAGGAAAATGACACTTAAATGTTATTAAAAAAAAAAGATTCTGTAATAGATAGTTGGAATCATTTTCATTAATTGTGACATCCAAGAAACTAAATGTCTTTTATTTTTTTTAAGTAGAAAAGAAACCAAATGGAAAAATTCTGAGGTAGTGTCAGAAAGTCACAGGACGAAGCCACATCTTTAGCAAAGGATGTTTGGGTATTTGGGGAAGTCATTTCACTTGTGGGATTGTCTCTACGAACTTTCAGTTTCAGTAAAAAAACCACTAAGCTGAGTTTCATGTTTAAGACACCTGTCAGAATCTTATTTCCTTTGGTACCTCCCAGATCAATGTAATTACAGGTGTGACGAGTTTTTTGTCTTCACACATGAACCAATGGATTTTTACTCAATAGGCCCAAGGATAATTCTTTCTCTTCTGAGAATCTCAAAGTACAAACTGAAGGAAGCCATCTGAAAACACTTCACAAACATATCACACATAAATTAACACTAAGACAAAGACATATGACTAAATAAATGTAAGCACAGTGATAATGAGGCCCGTAACCAAATACTTGCTATATATCGCTCTGGAACTCACAATCATATTAACAGTTGTTAGTGGATAGCTCATAGAGAATCATAGAAATCATAAAACTAGAAAACTCCAGAACAACTGTATCATTTTACAAATGAAAAAAAAATTGAGATCTAGACAAATTAATTGATAACTAGAGAAATCAAGGATAATGGCCGAGTTGACAGTAAAACTAACAAGTCTTTTGATTACAAGCTATTTCACATTCATTCAACCTCCATTTCAGTTAATCAAGTTTTAATGGCATGAGCAGCATAGTTACCCTGAGAAAGCCACATTATATCAGATGATGGTTTCACATCACTATAGTAGCAAGTGGACATTTCAGACCCACAAGGTGAGCAGTTCATGGCCAGATTCATTTAAGCATGATATAGTAGAACAGAAATCCATCACCATGTGAAGAATGTATGATATGCAATGCTTTATTTTCAGTCCATCCAAATACATAATTTTTTCAGGTTATATTAAAGATTTAGCTTCATCACAATAAATAAGGGAGTGATATGCATATCCTGTGTAGTATATTCTAGCCACAAAAACTCTAGTCATCATCAGCTCACCTGTTTTACAGGGAAAACATGTAGAAGTAAGTTAAATCAGCAAAGATTTCAATTCATCCAGGGTAGGCCTCAGCTATGGCCACCTATCTGTAGGCTGCTCTTATGTGTTATGAAAACCTTCTGGGTGAATGGTGGGGGCGCTGCATGAAGTTTTCATAGACTTTCAGTCCTAGACATTTTTCTGCATCATAAGATAAAAATTCTGAGAAGTTTTAGAAATGATAATCATCTCTGTTGAAGAGATCAGAATATGAAAGCTTACGTGCTGAGACACAAAGGTAAAACACTTGAACCTGCCTGAAAACTGGTATGAAACCGATTCTGTCAGAAAAACATTTTTTCTCAATCAGTTCTCATATTTCTTATCCTCAGCATTATTTCTCCCTTCATGATGTTGACATGGAAATACCAAAAATGAGCCCTACAGATAGGTAAAAACTAACACGAATATCTTATCTATAAATGTCATCTGGAAATCACATTAGTGAAATATTTTATTTCACCTAAAAGTCTTTTCTTCTGGCAAAAACATCCTGAAAATGGGCTCAGTGCATATTTAAAAGATTATATTTTATGTAATCAAGAGGCTTATAGAAATTAAAAACAAGGTGTAAGAGTATTTTATAAATAGAAGTACTTTTTGGAACACCAAAATCCTAATCTTTTAAGTGAGAAAATATATATTTTGTTTGTGTTTTTAAACATATCAAAAACAATCATTTATCCCTTTAAAAAGACCTATAATCCCTAGGCAAAAATATATTTGTTTAAAGAGAACCAACCTTCCCTCCTGTCCTTCCTTCTTTCCTTCCTTCCTTCTTTCTTTCCCTCCTTCTGACTATTTAGCACATAGGTTATGTTAAAATTTGTCCTTAATGATGGAGCCAAGCCAAGAATGTATCACCAAATTTCTGTGGGTTAACAAACTGCTTCCAGGGCTGTGATATTTCTTAATAATTAACAGTCTCTAAAACAAACTAGTCATCATTTATGGTTAATGGGAAGAGTTATTGGTATTTGTTTTAGAAAAATAAGTCCCAGATCCAAGATTAGAAAGAGTAATGCTGATTTTAAAAAGCTCTGTTTAGAACATAACAGGTATAGTTTCCTTTACAATGCTGGTTTGTAGGGTCTTTCTTGTTGTTCTAACTCTTATTGTAACATACCAGCTTTGCTAGATTGGTCAATGTAGCAATCTGGACAATATTATAGAGTGGAGGAGACACTGTCTCTAAACCTATGACTAAAATGGAAATTTATTCTTAATGGAAAGAGAACATTTTAACTCTGAGGGATGTGTAAACATTTAGATATGGAAGTGTTTCTAAACTACTATTTGAGGAAAATATGAAATGCCAGGCAGAGTATGTTCCTGGCCCATTCTAAAGCGACAAAGTGTAGTATCTGTGCACGCAGGGAATGTGAGGGGCAGAAGAGAAGCAGAGGCTCACCTGTATTCTCCAAAAGTGCCATCATCTTCCTTCATAGGCTGGATTTCAGGATCAGCATGGGCATCTTCCTTTTCTTTAACTAAAAATTTCAAAATGACATTCTTATCTATTGATCCTGTGTTTTCCTATTCAAAGTTTTTAAGAGTGCACTCTTTGAGATATATAGCAGTGGAAAATATTTCTATATACATATGGGTTGTATAACATTAACCGTATTGGGAAGGAAATGTTACACATCGCGATATCAAGACTCAGTTCATGCATTAAATTCTTCTGGAAGACTTCACATACCTTTGCCCTCTGTCTGTTGGTTGTAGGTGCAGTTTCAGCACCTGTGACTTTTATGGAGCCTAAGGAAGTAGAGTCACTAATATTTTCAGAGGACAGATTAATTAACTCCCCCAAATGCCTTCTGATCTTTGACAATGTTTAGGCTCCCATTATATAAAAATAGATAAAAAATTATTTGAACAGAAAGTCCAAATTTAAAGCGCTGGGAAGATACAGTTATTGCAGTTTACCCTCATGATTTCTTTTTACTTCAACAGATAATTAGGCAGTATTACAAGGCAATTTTAATTTTTTTTTTCTTACCTGGATATTTACCACCCTTGTTTCTTCTGATGAAGCAAACAATCAGCAAAATTAAGATAAGGAGAGCAACAGCACACATTAGACCAATGAACCAGCCCTGAGTTGCAATGTCCACCTGTCGGCTTGCCATTGCTGGAAAACAAATCAATGGTGTCAGTGATGATGAGTTAAGGGGGAGATAAGAACAGTTATAGTCTCTTGTATAAAGAATTTCCATAGTTTATGAGCTTTTATGTATATTACATGTGGTCCATATTGGAATTTGTCAGTTATCAATCAGGAGATATAAAAAACACTTAACTTTGGAAATTTTTCATTAAGTAAAACAATTTAAATAGAGAAATCTGAATGCTAATACCATTAAATTCTAAGAAAGTTATTTTAATTATATATTCTCTAGAGAAACATAGTCCGAAACCAATGAACAAATTTAGTGTTTGTAAGACAAATTGTTCATTAAATACAATGCTAAGAATATACTGAATTTTAAAAAGAACAAGAACAGAATGTATACATCTAATGGAGTATTTTCCCTTCAAAAGAACCACTTTGGAGGCTAAAATATCATTGTAATGATGCTGTCATTTTTTTGAAAGTTTTTGGAAATTTTCTGTTAAAAAAGAAAACTTTCTACAGAAGAAACCTGTCCACATAAGATAACCAGCTTTATTATTTTTATATCTTAATTTTCACCTAAAAATATTACTTAGATTTGTTCATCTCCCTTATTATTCGTCTTACTTACAAGAGTTGGTTCTGAATGACTTTTGCAAATTTCTGAAACATCCAATTTACCCTCAAAAGACCAATAGTCAATATTGAATATTGCTTAGGATCCATTCAAAAGACTTTGAAATATATCTTTATCAGTGGCATCATTATTAGAACAAGTGACCAGTTTAAAGAGAAAATACTCATTTACATGTATACATATTCTTTAAGTATTCATCTCTTCTGTTTGAGTCAATAAATGTGAAGCCCCCTTTTCAACCAGTCACTGTGCAAACCTCCTAAGAAAAACATAGATTAGCATTTCTAATATTATTCAAAAGTATCAATCAAATGGGAAAAAGTGCAGCATCAATGGCTATTCAGACACGTCTATGAAGATTTGTTAAAATAAATTGGCATATAAATCTTTTTTTTTAAATAAAAAAGGTCTTTATTTTCCTCTCTTTTGACCATAATTAAGATAAAAGGTTTTCTTCTCTTGATTCATAAGCTTGCTTATATTATGCTTTTAATTTGATTGAATTTCTTCTGAATACATTTAATATTGTTAGGTTAGGTGTATGTGATCTCTGGATGCAGAAATAAGCATTGGCTACATGTATCTCAGGTTCTGACATATGTGCAAAAATCTACTTCGTTGCCTTTGTTCTCCACACTAAGCATAGGGAGAAAAATGAGATGCTTAAAATCAACTGTGAAAAAGAATGCAAAAAATGTGTGGGTGTGGGTTTAAGAAATAAAATTAGACGTGGAAATACATTATCTAGAATACAAATCAAATGTCAGTAGCCTTTCCCTAATAGCCCCTTATGCCTCACAGGTCAGAAGGATTTTGAGTTGTATTGTAACTTGATACAACTGAAGCATGAATGTAGACAGTGCTCCCCTTCCATACATGCACCACAATCATGATGATGATGATGAAAGTGAAGACAGTCAAAATGAGAGCTTACATTCTGAAACCCTTACTATCTGTGAGACACTGCGCTGAGAACAAAATCTCATTTAATCTTCACAACAATCCTTTGAGTTAAGCATGAGGATTAAGTCCATTCCAAGAGAGGGTAAAGAACTTGCCCAAGAGCTGGAGTTTGACTCAAGTCTGACTGGCTCCAGGGCACATGGTAGCAGCCATTATGCTCTGCTGCTACAATGTTTTCCTGGAAATATGTCCAGACATCGAATCTGCAGATGTCTGAACAGAGAATAAAATATGACAAGGCCTTTCCACTCTGAAATAGGTAAAAGATATTTTAAAAGTCCATTATTATATACTCTTTGGCAATATATTTCTGTCAATTATCACATGGTCTTTGTGTGCTTTTTCTTTAAAACTGAATAAAAAACCCACTAGTGATTGAAGTTAGAATCTTTGTTTTTAGTACGCTTAGTGATTTACAGCCTTGTCATAAATACACAGGAGTTAGTCCAGTAGCCCTACAGGACAGAACAATGAAACTCGGAGAACAGGGAGCTAGATTAACAGTATATATTTGCTCCTAGAGGTAATATGTTAACTAAGGTCACTAGGGTTTAATTGGTATTTATTCTTTTTAATGGTTATGTTTATATGTAAGAGGTGACAAAAACTGGTTGTGGCTTCATCCTGTTTCTCCATTGCTGGCATACAAGAATGGCTCACCCGTTATGATGCTCACCTTGTACTACCTGTCAGCTGCAGCTGGAATTATAGGCATAGCAACATTGAAGAAAAAAATTTTTTTCTAAAACGTCTGTCTTCTATCCTATAGAAGGACAAAAGATTCCACCTTGATTTTGTGGGTGGAATCTAATTCCAGCTAGATCTGCAAGCTGGAGTGCACTGGAGCCATTAGGAGTCCATAAGAACTGGAAAAGACAAACAGGTCATTTCTGAGACCACCTGTTTCCCCTGGGGTATGGTCCTCTGTCACCCTATAAGGGGAGTGTAGTGAGGGCATCTGCTCCAGTGTTGGAAGGCTGAGCCTCTAATCCCAGCTCTCCCACGTTCTAGCTGGGTGACAGGCAGGTACTCCGCCTCTCATTACACGTCACTAACATGATGTGTAAGTGGGTAATAACACTGCTCACTTCATAGGATTGTTGTAAGGACTGAATGGAAAAGCCATGAAAACCATTTGTCTGGTATAGATTAGAGCTGATTAAATGCTAGCGCTGTTATTATTACTAGCATTCTAGCTATAAAGGGACAGAATATCTACTTGAGCTTTTAGCATTTTGAAATTAAAAGCTATCGAAAATAATGAACATCTTGTATTACTAACTGTGAACTGATATCCTCTTTTAGGTTTAATACAGTATTTTTTTTAGAACTCTGTACATAAGTAGATATGAAAATACAAGGAATAGAATAACAAAAAATGTTTTTTTCTTTATATGATTTTAGCATACAAATATTTTAAAATGTAGTTTAGAGTAAGTTATTGAATATTAGCTTTGGTTTCTTTCTTTTTAAAAACCATTCATGATTGTATATTTTCTAAACTATAAGAAATGACTTTAAAAATCATAATGTTTGGGTAATAAAAGGCACACAAGAATACATTTTGACTATGGGTTTTACAGGAAATGCAACATTTCCTCAAGAAATCATGAAATGACTGAACGTGACATGGATGTGTAAATCACAAAATGAACATGTACCATACAACCCTTCTTTAAATTTAAGTAAGCAGGGAGCGTTTTCCATTTTGTGAGTAAATATAAACATTCTTGACTCTTACATGAACATTTTTCTTTAACTTAGAAACTCTAATTATACTTCTGTGTTTTGATAATGTTTAAATAACTAAAATATATACAAGCAGTCAAACATGGTATGAGAAAAATGGAATACATTGATTGAAGAAATTCTTGTTCTATACAAGAACTGCAGGGTGCTGCTGGGTTATAGTCTTTTTTTGACATAAAAAACTGTGACTTTATCAATGAATTATTTCAGCTTCAAAAGACTTTCAAAAATTCTATTCTAACTCCGAGGGAGTTTATACGTGTAAATGGTGAGAAAAATTGACTTAAGTAACTTAAGTTAAGAATCATATTTAGCTCTGTTTTGGTAATGGTTTTTGGCAATAATATGATTAGAAGATGATTTGCTTAATTCTGTAAGTCATTGCATATAAAGAGTCCAAGACAATTAAAAACCCCAACTCCTAACCCAACTGTGCCCCACAGAGAGACATTTGTGGCCCTATCTATAACATAGCACCACTAGCCCCTACCTTCAACTGGAGTGCTCAGAGGCTTCACCTCGGAGCATGAGCCAGACCTGGTGTGATATGCCTCACCTAGGCCTGTCTCAAACACATCCTCTGCACTCACAAAACCAGAGTCTCCCTCTCGAACTTTGTATGCTGTTCCTGGCATTAGACCCTTTAACCCAAAGAAGCTCTGAGAATCATTTACAATTTCTTTCCTCCATTCTTCTTTGCCTATGGAAATTTTGCAAAAACAACAAATTATAATATTTTAAGGGGCTGGAAGTCACTTAATGCTTCAAGAAAGGAAAATTCCTCTATAAGCTAAAGACAAAATCTAGGCTTCCTAGGTTTATCATTTTAGGTAATGTCAAATAAATCAATTGACTGAATATCCAGATAGCATATTAATTGTATATATTCCTGTTGTATTAAATTTTCTTTTTTAATACAAAGGAAGCTTCTTTATCTGCACCTTGCCTTATAAAACTATTGAGTTTCTCTATGATGTTTATAAAAAGAACTGTTACACATTAAATAGTTTAAGTGAACTATGGGAGAATTGTTTTTAAGTTCATAAGATGAATCTTTTGGCAAACTTAATGTCTTCGAGTTTATCTAAGTTATAAATTTAACCTTTCCTGGGTATTGGTTTTCTTAAAAGAGTAGTTATTTCTAAAAATATTATTTGCATGATAAAGGCCTCAATAGAAAGTTGAACTATGTTTAACATTTTGTTACAAAAGTTCCTTGCCCACCCAGCTTATTATGTGCAGAGTACACTACAGTAAGGAGAGGTACTGGGTTTTCATAAAATGGCTGAAAGTTAAGGCTGTCCCATCTCCTGGCAGAGGTGGCCAGGCTGTAAGTGGAATGCCTGACTTGAGAATATATTAAACATTGAAATATATAAGTGTTAATTTTCTGGAATTTCTGATAAAATTGTGTTGAGTAGTATTGGCAAAATGACTACTTTTAAGTCAATTTGATTTCTGCTACTTCAAGGTCCATTTTGAATAAGCTTTACTTCTTTCCTATTGTACTTACAAATATAATTATTCATTATTACTCATGTTTACATGTTGTGGGTATCGAACAGTTTTAAGTACCATAACATGAAAATAATATGCACTAGAACTCATTATGTTCCTTGTTTTGATAACAGCAACAAAAGAGATTCTTAGTTATGTATAAAATACATAGGTTGATGGTTCACTATAATTTTTTTAGATAAATCTGATTCATTTAATTGGATCAAGTTATTCTTCAAGATGATCCACAGTAAATCCTTAACAGAGTTCTTAATCTCTTAAAATGTATCCCCCAAATTAAAAACCGGGTAATGAAGTTGTTTCTTACTGCCAGCTACACCATATTCAACATAAAAGTTCACATGCTCTGGTCCCTCATATTCCTAAATGATAATAGCACAGGTCTCAGCAGCTGCGGCAGTAAGTTTGCTGATCCTGGGATTTACTGCTTGAAATAAATATACAGTAGAAAAATAAAACAAACAATCAAATTGCAACACCATACACACAAATAGAAAATAAGTTTAAGTACTCTGAAACTGTGCAAAGAAAATTAAATTAGAATTTACTGCCAAAATTTAGGATTTGCTCATATTTCACTTTCAATATAGACAGGCTTTTCGTTTATTAAACTAAAGCATTAGGAAATAAATCAATAATCAGAAATAATGATGCACAATATTTAAATTTATGAGTTCTATCATATAGGTCCTGAATAATGTGAACTGTTGTCCACATCTTCATTTCCTGGCATAGTGTGGGGCAAGAGACTGGTGAACAACGCTGGGGGCAGAGGTCACAGAATATCAGAAACTGCAAGGTAAAACCCAATACTAGGTGGCTGTTTTTCAATCCTATTTATCATCTTAATGCAGATCTTTACAGAATTTGTGTTGGGGTGAGGAAAGATGCTTCGTAGAATAGTGGCTTTTGACCTGTTTTGAGTCACAGACTTCTTTAAGAATTTGCCTCTGCGGAGTTCAGGGACTCCAGGTGAGGGACACTTGCTTTGGAGAATGCTGGATGATTAGGGTATGCTGGAGGAGAAGCTGTAAAAGGAACTGCTAAGTACTTTTATCAGAAGTTAAGAAAGAAGAAATAAAAGGAATAAGAACTACTTCACTTGACACATCCTAGAGAGTAAGACAATCTTACCTGTTAAGTGTTCATTATATATCATGTTCTGAAAAAGGATGCAACCCAAATAGTTTCTTAATAGCCAAATTATGGAGATTATATGACACTATATGCTTGCTACTGAGTAAAGACAACACTTAGTGACATTAAAAGATGTTATTTGGCTATGGGAGGCTGACAATTATATCAGCCTTACTGCAACAGCCTAAACCAAAAATGACATATTTACAGATATATTATTTTGGTTAGTTAAAAAATGATAAGATCAATTTATTATCCCAGAGAAAAAATATCCTAGGATAGTAAATCAGAAGGTTTATTCAGACTCTAAAATTAAATTCCAGGTTATGTTATACAATTTAGAAACTAAAAGCCTCTACTAAAACAAATATAATGAAATATCATTTCTTAGGATCAAAAGAGAAGTATATAAAAGAAATTAAATAATTTAATTTAATTACTCGACTTCTGAGATAATTCATCATCACATGTATATTGTATGCCCCTCTGTGCTAAGGATGGGAAACAGCAGAGAGCATAAATGATTACTAAATTATGTAGTGTTCTTTTGTGGACCTAATAATTAATTTTAGCTGCCTGGGATTTTCCACTTGAAGAAATAGATAATGATAGGAATATGATCAATAAACAGTGACACTAAATATGAACACGTGTGTAAAACATCAGTGGCAAAAAACCCAGGTAAAACAATAATTTTCTTTAAAAAATTTTGGAATCATGGAACTGAGGAATTTAATCTTGGTGTAATTATGAAAGATGGTCGAGGCAGAACCATACTGAAATACTTCCAACAGAAGAGCATTTAGCTCATTCTTAAAGACACAGAGAAGATAACAAAATTTCCTAAGGTTATGCCATTTGGCTACTTTTATGACAGAATTATAACTCTCCTAGCTTTGACGCCCCACTCATCCACTTTCTCATTGAACACTCACTGAACACCTATGATGTGCCAGTGTTTCCTGGGATGTGCTACTGTCATTTCTCAGCTGGGCTTTCTCAGCAGTCTGTCTCTAGTCTCTCTCCCTACTTTCTTTGTAGATCCCACCAATACAGTTACCTACATGTTGGCTTCTAAACTTACATATGTATCTGATCCTATCATTTTTCTGTTGTGGATGGCTTACCCCTGCCTACAGGTAAACTTACATATGTATCTGATCCTATCATTTTTCTGTTGTGGATGGCTTACCCCTGCCTACAGGTAAACACAAATTCCTTAGTGAGGCACGCATGGCCATTGACGATCATTTACATCCGGCCTCACCTAGCTCATCAGTCTCATCTCAGGTTCTCTTTTTCATATATTCTACATTTCTGCCCAACTGGACTACTAGGTATAACCCAAACGTCCTGTGGGTCTTCAGTCCCCACATCTTTGCTTATTACCCTACCAAGAAGTTATATACTCCGATTCTCTGACTTATCCTCCAAAATTCTATTTGTTCTCCAAGACCCAGTTTAATATTACTTTCTTTGTGATGTTTTTCCTGATCTTGTTTGGCAAAATAAATGGCTCCTTCCTCTATGCTCATATAACATTTTGTTCAATGATCCATTTAGCATCTATTTTTACTCTTTTTTTTGTATGTTGGTCTTACTTGACAGATGTTAAGCAAACAAAGGCAGAGTATGTCTTACCATTAGATATGCAGTGCCTTAAAAAAGGCTGGTGCATTTTACATGCCGGGTAGATATTAACTATTGAACTGATTGAACCTTCTATATAGTTCTTTTATGTTGTTGTTCAGACCAAATAAAGTTGTGAACATTAAACTTGGGTTCTTTAGCTTTTCCTGTTTCTTAACCTAATTGGTAGCAGTGGGACAGACTCTGGTATAATTATAAAGTGAGAGTCTCACCACAGAAAAGATCCCTCACCAGCTCCTCAGTGCCCTCCTCTGATCAGCCCAAACTGGATGACCACAGTTAGCTGTTAATTAGGTCAACCAGGTAGTTCCTAAGTCGCCAGTTTCTCCCTATTCCTGTATCCCAACTAGTCACCTCACAAAAATGTTCTGATAACTGGTCCCAAGGGTGAGAAAGTAAAAGCTATTAATAAAGCGGTGTCCATCCATCAGCAATACCGAGAATATAACTCAAATCCGTTATCTGAATGTTTTTGGTTGATTTTTACACATGCCTTCACAGGTCTATTTCTTAGAATCCCAGACCCAAAACTATTTAAAAGGACACAGAAATTGAACAATTGCAGCCAAACAACTACAATTCTTACAAGGATACTGAAAACTGAGGACATGGATTGAAACAAGTGACTCTTGAAGATCTCAAGAGTATTTACATACACAAATTGAGGAGAATGGTAAGGAAAAGTATGGCATAATACAGCTGATTGAATTATCCTGGTTTCTGCTTCATGGTTTAAATAATGCTTTTGTAATTATATATTTGTAAGCTTGGGTTTTATTAACATCTGTAAGAAAATTAAAAAATGTAAACTCAGATGCATCTCTTTTTTCTCCTCTTCAATCAGAAGTGAATTAAAATCACTAGAAGCTGATGTTTCTTTTGCTAAGGATATCACACATGTTTTCCCCTCAATGATTCATCTCTTATTTATTTTTTCATGTTGTTTTAAATTAAAATATAAAATATATATAAAATATTAAAATTTGGAAGGATGTGGAGCACTTTTATTTTGGTCCTCTCTGAGACTATATAAACTTTGCCTGGAGAAGAAAATAGAGAAAAGGATAGAATTCACTCTTAGACTGAAAAAATATTTTTAAGGAAGGAAAACCCAGGATAACCAATTCTTCTTGTGTGCTTAAAGTCTTATTAGTAAAATGTCAAAATCTTATGCAAAACTTTTAATTTCTGGCACACTGTTAAAAGAAACAATACAGAAAATAAGGATAGATTTAGCTTTCTTTTAAAAATTTAAATACTATTTATCTTCTTATCTGAGATCCAACAAATTTCAATGTTGGGGAGCTTCAAGAACCTTCTGTCACTCCATTTTCATTTGTCTCTATGACTATAAGTAATTCACAATTCAATTTAGTAATATTAAATGGTAAAACTTAAACTATTTTAATAAAGATTTCTTTTAGTTAGTTTTAATTAAAATAAGTAGGTGATTTTTTTCCAGTGGCTTGCATGTCCTCTTCTAATATGACAAGGCAATGGAAAACTCACATTCACTTCACAGGAAGCCCTGCTGCAGCACAATTACTCTGCTACTGATTTTAGGCAGAGTGATTGACATGC